GGACATTCTTAACGTGAAATCGCTGCTGAGTTCGGAAAGTCTCATAATCTCATATACAAAATCAAATTGCGCCATAATTTAGAAGTAAATAAGCCTAAAAGTGGTCGAAGAAAAATTTTTACACCAAAAGACCAAAGAACAAGCGCTCGTGTAATTGCTTCTGGTGAGTCTAAAACTGTTAAGGATGTTACTAATTTAATGAAAAACAGCTATGGGACTCATGCTTTAGTGCGGACAGTCAATAGAGAGCTCAAAAGAATTGGTTTTCAATCCAGAAGGAAGATCAAGAAGCCATTGTTAGTTTCTCGTCACCGCCAAGCTCGTTTAAGTTATGCTAAACTTCACGGACTGTTGACTTTTGATGACTTTTATGACTGGATTTGGACAGATAAAAGTAAAACTAATATATTTGGATCAGATGGTATAAGATATACTTGGAGAAAGCTTGATTCACTATTAAGTGCTCGAGATTTTACACCAACCGTTAAATATGGCAGAAGAAAACTCTTGCTTTGGGGATGTTTTTGTCCTCGTGGAGTCGGTGAATTCGTGAAAATTAATGGAATAATGAACGCTGATGACTATATCAACATCCTTAAGGTTGGATATTTCAAGTCCCTGCGAAAATGGGGCAGAACTGTACGTAACACGATCTTCATGCAAGACAACGACTCCAAGCATAAGGCTGATAAAACCATTAAATTCCTTCACGAGAAGAAATTGAAAGTCGTTGACTAGCCAGCACAAAGCCCTGATCTTAACCCACTCGAAAATTCTTGACCAATAGTTAAACAACGGGTCTTCAACTTTCCTAATCCACCTAAGAATAAGGATGAACTTTGGGTTCGTGTACAAGAGGTTTGGTATTCAATTACACCCGAGGAATGCCGCAAATTGGTTGCTAGTGTTCCTGAAAGAATTCAGGCTGTAATTAAATCTAAGGAAGGATACACTCGATATTAATTTTCTACAATATGTTATTTGCTTTCATTTACGACAAAATTCTCACCATTAGCTCTTCACATAAAAATTAAAAAAAAATTCAATATCCTCTAAATTTAATAAAAATCAATATTTTCAGTTAGTTAAGTCTTAAATTTAATTAATAAAACTAAAATTTTATTTTTCTTCACTGCTTTTCTAATAAAATATATATAAAATATTTTTTTGTTCAAACATGGTGAAAATTTTGGCACATACTATATATATATATATATATATATATATATATATATATATATATATATATATATATATATATATATATATATATATATATATATATATATATATATATATATATATATATATATATATATATATATATATATATATATATATATATATATATATATATATATATAAATAAATATATATATATATATATATATATATATATATATATATATATATATATATATATATATATATATATATATATATATATATCTGTGTGTGTGTGTGTGTGTTACTATTATTGATTGTAAATGGAAATAAATATAAATGTAAACGTTAATTAGTGTTATTTAAAACATTTTCTAATTGAAAAACAATTGAATATATAACAAAAGATCAATTTCAAGATTTTTTATTTGTCAAGATAAGTAACCTCCATTTAAGAGTTTTCATACTAATAAAATAAATAATTTTAAAAAAATCACGGTGATCAGTGTTTGGGAACTATATTATCCTCAAATTAGGGCCTCAAAGTCCAAATAAATGTTTGGAAAGGGGGCAATAGTAGTAATTAAAAATAAGCTCTACCATAACGAGTTTGACAAAATTTCATTTGTAAAATTCTCAATTAGTAAAAAAACATTTTAACGTTCAAAAGTTATGACCTTGTAAAGTTGACAACCCTATCAAATATAGGGAATTTCAAACTTTCTTTGGTCGCCATTTTTAAACGATAAGAAATTTTTTTTAGATAAATTAATTTTTCCGATGAATTTCAATCAATTTTAAGAAACTATAAAATAAAAAGGTTTTTTTTCCTTTCCTCATTTGAGATAGTGAGTCTTGATTTTACAGTTGTGTATTGTTCCTAGGCTCCTATAACTTTAATTTTTGGAAAACATTTTTATTTGATATCAGTATCAATATTACAACTTTTAAAGTTTGCACCATCTCTAGAAGTTACTTATCTTGAACACAAAAAAATCATAACCTGCCCTTTTAACCCTGTTCAAAGATTGTGTTTTCAAAAATGTAAACTGTTTCTGGAAGACATTTTTTTTCAAATAAATTATTTCCGCCTACGGAAGAAAACAAAGTACTTAGATGCTCTTAAAGCTTTAGGTGATTCAGTACCACCATCTAATGAACTAGTAAATATACTGAAAGCATGTCTGTGACTTATACGGGGCTGAACAAGAAGAATCAGTTAATTCCGCATAAGTCTGGTAAACTCAGCAAGGAAGCGTTACAATTAAATAAAGATTCGCTTGTTCTACACATTAATAGAGCTAATTATGAAGTTTTTATCAGAAAACGATCACATGTAGCAGTGAATAACTCACCAAGTCCTTTTGGGAATGGTTGGTTTAATAATCAAGATTCAATTACCATATCTTGGTTAAAATTACCTGCTGCACCAGATTCGGCGCTTGATTTTGTTCACTATTATTGCCGTGATTGTTCCACTAGAAGTTGTTCATATCATAAACTTGTGTAGTTTGCCCAGATCTTTGCAAGTGAAAATTATGGTGATAACCATCAAGACATCAAGACAATAATGACAACCAATAAGATGAACCTTGAGTCTGAAATGATAGCAACTTTGACTATGTTAATAAATTGTAATAAAAACTATTTGTTATTTAATATTTTGAATTGAACTGCAAGATAAACATCACTGGCAGTAGTATATAAAGGAAATTTGGTCAACAATAATACTTGTTTTAATTACAGTCCTCCTTTAAAATATTGCATAAAAATGGCATATGGCAAGTCTTCTAAGAAAACATATAAAAAATAAAAAGGTCTAGAACCTTGGTTACCGATATCAATAAGCATTCAAATTATAACGTACTTTTGGTAGTTAAGTAAAGAATATACAAAATAAAAATGACTTTCTTTTTTTTTTCTTAATTGAAGACCTCGGTGCAAAAATGATATAACTCCACTTTTGGTCAATTTTCAGGTGTAAACATACTTAAAAAAAGCTTTAACAGTTTTTTTTTAACAGTTGGTGCTATAAAAACTTTGATCAGAGCCCATTTAACTACATTCCCTACAATCATTTAGTGCATAAACGAAGTAGCTCCGGAGTTACCGTCTTTCTGCACTGGATGCATTTCTGTTTTCTACGCTTGTTTGTAAGTTTCGAGTTTTATTGTGATTTTGAAAGACGTGCAAGTTTGGTTGAACTATTTCTAGTGTTTATTTAAGTCTTATACTGTATTACAGTATGGTTTAAATCTAATTGTCAATTAAAGTACCTAATGGACATTACTTAATAGAAGACATAATATGGCTATTTGTATTGCAAGTGACAGCAGTATATTTGACAATTCGGTTAATGACACTATTTTTTTTCAACTACGCTACAAACCTAATTTGTTGACAAGGGCGAGGTAAAAATTTGTTGATGTAATTAATGGACAGCCCCTATTGTTTATTATTTGTTATTTCTGGTAATCTTTTATTGGATTTAAAATAAAAGAATCATTCACAGGAAAACAACTAAAGCCTAATTAATACATTTTTTAGGAAAAATGAATAAATATAGCACTTATGAAACTTATTTGGGGTATTATTGTTATTTCTAGTTTTGTTTTGTCGGATCTTGATAGTAACTAACTTAATTTTATTTGCTTGGTGCAAAAACGAGGTAACTCCATGAGTTTATTTTTTTTATATAGTCGTTGGTATTGATGATACAAAAACAAAATTTACAATAAACATACATTTTATACTAAACTACTAAGAACTTGTGTAAAAAGTTGAGAGTATATAAAAATTTCAAAGTTAATCAGTTTTTTCCTTCTCCTGAACAATTTGTAAAAATGGAGTTAAATCGTTTTTGCACCGAGGTCTTCAATTAAGAAAAAAAAAGAAAGTCATTTTAATTTTTTTAATAGAAACCGCCCTGGTTAAAACTATAGAATGGTTTCTATATATACCAAATCTTTGACCTCAATTATCCGGTTATTGGGACCATGAAAATCTGGGAACTTTTCTTTTTGTGATTAGTTTGTTTAGATCTTCAAAATAACTTTTTTGAAATTTAGTTACTAAATGTGTCTTTTTTTCGAAAGCTTTTTCTGCAACAGACGCCGGCCTAATTGTTTATTTGATTATTTTTCTTTTTTAAACAAGTCACTAGACTCATTCGGAATTCTAAAACTTAAAGTACACAAAATAAACCAGGAAAACCTAGTGTGTATAGAGCTGGGTAAAGTCATCCCAAAGTACGGAAAGAGTTAAAAAATTCAATATACAAACATTTCAATTTAAAAAATATACAAAATAGCTTTAGGTCATACATGCTTAAAAATACATTTACATCATATTTATAACATAACATTAAAAACCCAAAACTTTGTTAAAAACTATTCAATGACATTGTTAAGATACAAAACCTATCGTAGAAATGCTTTAAAAACACTTAAAAAATACAAGAAACAGAAGGTACATGATTTAAAGCGAGAGGTTTACAATGTCTTAGATGCGACTACGGTACACCCCATGGATTTACTTAACATTTTTTTATTGATAATTTATTTCAAAAAAGTATTCAAACATTTTTAGAATCTCTAATATTTGAAGTCTATTTCAGGCCTGCAAACAACATGCAACTTTATCAAAAATCATATATTATAATGATTATTACTTTTCTGTTTTAGTTTGATGTACAGTTTGATGTAATTTGATTTACAGCAGTATTATTTTTTTACATAATGAACTCCGATAATAATATTACCCAGCATTTATTAGGATCATTCATCGGACCGTTGCATTGAGGTTGCCCATACATGATTTAGAGATAATTCACTATAAAATAATATAAATTATGTTTATAAAATAAATAATATAAAAAATTTTCAAACATTTGATTCTCGCTTGTTTAGAGGAACTGTTTTCCTTTTTAATACACGCCAGTCTTTTAACATATTATCTTTCATACGGGTTAACATAGACAACTCTACATCTGTCTCGCCAGCTAATTTTTTTCGTCCAGTACGACCAACACGACCGTAAATACGATATCGAACAGAAATCTGATTTAATGAATTACTAGATATTTTATGAATTTGGAAACTTTCGTTAAATATAGGCGTAGATGTTGATTTATACCTAGACTTATGTCTATCTTTTTTAAAAGGTAAAAGTGTCATGTGCACTTGCCAATACATTTTATCCTTGTTAGTAGATATAAAACATTGAGCTTGTTTTGCCCCAACAACCAGAACCCATTCTTTTGGATCATATTGAATAAATACTTGAACACGGCACGGAGATAGCTCTTCGCCAAATTCCTCAAAGTTTGTAGTAACTGACGAAACTCCAGAAGCAAAGCTATCTGTTGAAAGAGTTCGATGAAGAGTCGACCCTGTAGATGCATATAATGTGTCTAATGAATTTTTTACTAACGATGTTCTTTCAGAATGAAAACGCACACTTTTTAAAGGCGCTTTGATTCTTTTTAACATTGACTTTAATTGATTATTTTTTTCTTTTTTTGTGGAAATAATTGGCGACTCAGTGATAACGATTTGTATATCATTTGGCTGTGTTTCGTCTGGGGGAACTATTGAATCATCACTAGGATTTGTTTGTGACTCATGCGATTCCTCCAGATCATCCCATTCTTCGTCACTATGCTGGTCGTACAGACCATAATCTTCATCACTTTTTTCTTTTTCACCAAAACAATTACACATCTCCAGGGAGTAAGGCCACATGCAATCTACGGCCACATGCAATACTTCAGGTGAATAGAGCAATCACAAAAAAATGTGATTTAATATCCACTTTTGCATTAGCTATAATTAAAAAAAATTATACTATAAATAATTCTTATATTATAAAATGTTTCTGTGTGTGTGCAGCGGCGCCAAAAGCATTTTTTGGTTTTTGAGCTAACTTTCAGACATTGAGCAAACTGCAAACATTTAAATGTTTATACTTATGTGTAAACATTTAAATGTTTATACTTATGTGTAAACATTTAAATGTTTATACTTATGTATAAACATTTAAATGTTTATACATAAGTATAAACAAATAAGGATGCTTTGTAAAAAATTGCGATGATTTGAGCTTGGGAACAAAAAAGTCCCAAAATTTTGCTCCAAACATGAGAGCAACAAGTTGATGAAATAAATTTGTTACTATTTTTAACTAGACTTATATTCATCGACAAATTTTAAATTTCATAGTAAAATATTTTAGCGTTCAAAAATTATGACTATATAAAGTTCAAACCGCCCTCATTTTGAGGGGGTTGCAAATTTTATATTGTCAATTTTTGAACACTGAGAGATAATACTATGAAACTTAAAATTTATCGATGAATATAAGTCTAGTTGAAAATAGTACAAAAAATATTTCATCAACTTGTTGCTCTCATGTTTGGGACAGGAGGGACAAAGTTTTGGGGTTTTTTGTTCCCTAGCTCCAATCATCGCAATTTTTTGCAAAGCATACTTATTTGACATAAGTATAAACATATAAATGTTTGGAGTTTGCTTCATGTCTGGAAGCTTCCAGACATGGAACAAACTCATTTCAAAGACCAGAAAATGCTTTTGGCACCCCTGCACTCACGCACAGAAACATTTTCAAATTATTTGAATATTTAATTTAAATCTAATATTTAGTAAAAAGTTATACATTCATATAATATTTTAATATCAGAATTATTTATAGTGTGATTATATATATATATATATATATATATATATATATATATATATATATATATATATATATATATATATATATATATATATATATATATATATATATATATATATATATATATACATATATATATATATATATATATATATATATATATATATATATATATATATATATATATATATATATATATATATATATATATATATATAAAACAAAATATACAACTCATATTTAAACAAAAGTAAATCACCTGCTCCATAATTATCTAAAGATCGATATGTATTTTGGAATTTCATACTTTAACATGATTAGAAAAAATTTAAAAACATTTGTAAAATATAAATCCTTTAAATATTTTTTAGATAATTTATTAAAAATAGGGTGAGGAAAATTTTATTTTCACTTCCTGTTGCATAGATTTTAAAATTATAATTGAATAACTTTAATCTTTAAATTTTTTATGAAAAAATATTAAAGAAGTTAAATGATGTATAAAAGAAGGATTATACAAAGTAATATTAATTAACAATAATTTAAGATAAGAAATGATTAACTTTTCTTTTCAATTAAAATAATTTTTGATGACTTATTGCATAATTTAGACATAACAAAACATAAATATATGCCATT